TAAATCACTATACTTCTTTTTCTCATGGGTTTAAATACCCCTCATCCGTTAATTTTAAGAAGCACTGTTAAAGTGTTAAACAACTAGCGTCTACCACCGTTACTTACATTGAAGTAAATGTGTGAAGCATATAGTGCAGCATATAGAATTGTACATTTGTACTACGTAAATCACTACAATAAAATAAGGAAAGTTTTACGGGGTATAACTAATACATATGACTACTTTTGTTTTTAGATATTCGTATGACTAAAAATTAAAAAAAAAATACTGCACTTTATGAAGAAGTTATTGTACAACATTTATTGCATTTTATGCAAGTATTATTACACGACATTACAGATTTTTTTAGGCATTACGAAAATGTTATGAATTTGTTTCCATCATTTGCAATGGAGCCCAAAATTCACTATTTTTTGACTTGATAATATGATGATATAAAGTAAAATGGCACACTAAATTGTCAGCGCTTCTTTGTTGGGAAGTAGCAGTCAGTCCATGCAATTTTCAATGTGATTTTCAACTTGGATCATCCTAAAACAGTCTCTTTGTGCTTTAGTACAAGGGTAAGGTTGCGTACATCCGACCCCCCACTCCACCGTAGGTGGGAACCTTTGTGACACTGGGGTAATGATGATGACGACGACATAAAATGTTATGAATTTATCGTTCTTTATTATCCTTTTTAGATTTGATAAATTTAGTTTTTTTGCCTTGCATCATCCGTATTGCTAAGTTACCCCATATTTTTCTTTTTTGTCAGTCTCACTAAATTTTGGAGTCTACTATACTAGATTATCACCCGTGCGATGCACGGTACAAAACTACAAATTATAGTAAAAAAATATCAAGATATGAATAGAAGACAATGTTTGAATGTGTGAAAAAAGAATAAGAAGTCATATATGTTTGGAGAGACTAAGAGCCCGTTTGGTGATGTCAAAAATGGTTGAATCGGCTGATTTTGTTGAATTTGTAAATTTTGGGCTGAAGTGGTCACATTAGCTGATTCTGTTGATTTATAAAAAGATTATATTTAAAATTATATTTTATTAATAAAATAAAAAATATATAAAGAAATATTGACTAATAATCCTGATAAACCGAAAAACTAGATGACACATTTTCTTAGAGAATTGATTTCCTCTCTCTCTTACTACGCAGTATCTTTTATCATTTTATATTTGTCCATGTCCTTGTGCTATTTAGATTTTTTATCTTGATTGGAGAGTTAAAAATAAAGGGTTATCCCTCGATCTGTACTAAGTTACCCCATTTTTTCTTTTTTATGGGTCTCACTAAGTTTTATACTATATTTGATAACATTTGAGTGGTTCTACATCATTTTTTTCAATTTTACTATTCAATTCAATATCAATCATATAAACGCAATTTCGAAAATCACACTACTTGCTCTTGTATAAAAAAGGATGACACTCCATCTCTGATAGGATGTAAGTTGAACTTTAATCACACTCCGATGAAAAGAGAGTGAAGTTTCATTATAAGTTATTACTCCTTCCGTATTTAAATGTTCACTACACTTGTTTTTGGTACAATATTTTAGGATAGAATATTAGCAGGGCCGGCCCCGGGCATGGCTGCCCAGTGCGAGCGCACAGGGCCCGGATTTTTGAAGGGCCCAAAAAAAATTTAGTATTACGCCCCAACCCAAAATCCCCCTGCGTAAGTCTAAATATGCTTGAAGAATGTCCTTTTTAAAATAAATTGTAAGTTATTAATGACTATTTTTATCATTACATTTATTCGTAAGTTGTATTTTAAGACAATTTGCTTGTGTTGCAACTTGAAAAAAGGACCAAATTTTATTCTCGCACAGGGTCTACGTTTCTTCGGGACCGGCCCTGAATATTAGGGGTAGTGAATAGTGTAGAAAAAGTAGAAGAGAATGTAAAAGTATGAAAGAGAAGATAAAATCTAGATAAAACAAGGATAATTGAGTATTTTATAAAAATAAACTTATCAAAAAATGAAAGTGTAGAGACTTTTAAATAGATTCACAAAAAGTGTAGGAACATAGTGAATACTTTTTCTCCATATCGTTGTTGTTGGTTGCTCTTTCAGTCTTTCACGATTTCAGAACAGGCAAATGTCTTTTTCGGAAAGTGACCCTACAAAGATTCCTCGTGTTAGCTTTCTTCAGCACAGTGAAAAAACATTGCAGAATCAAGTCAAACATATAGCTCAAAATCTTACTCAATTATCAACAAACAGCTCAGAGCTAGCCAAAAAGCTATCCCAGTTTAAGCCAAGCAGTAATACTTGACCAAGTAAAGAAAAAATCGAAAATCAAATCTTTAAATACGGCGTATTCATTACGTTGTACGTACTACGAGCCAAAGTTTGCCAAAAAAAAAACATTATAATACTCCTTCGACCCTTTAAAATTTTGCCATTTTTTAAATTTTTGATCAATTAAAGCTTTAACCAATGGCACATCTTAGGAAATGATTTATAAAATAAAAGCTATATAGAAATGTTTTTTGCTAAAAACATTTGAATACAAGACTAAAAGTATAACATTTATAACTGTTACTATGCACTATATTATTATACTAATCAAAATCATTGACCACAGTTTCTCATCATTGACTTCAAAAGTCAAATCCGTGGTTTAAATTATGTAATAAGCAAAATACTCCGTAAGTCAGATTGAAGTTATTTTTGGATTGAAATGACTGAAGTTACTGTAAAGGACTATTTTATCTATTTTTTATATGAAAATTTGACAAGAAAAATCTCACCTTTCACGGGTCTTCTCATAATAATCACACATTAACATAATCCAAGAATAATCCCACCGTTGCACCCCATCTTCTTTCATTGGACCTTGACCTATTGATAACCTACAAAGGTTGGATTATTTATATAAGATTTTCAAAAAAAAAGATCCAATGAAAGAAGATGAGGTGAAAAGGTGAGATTATTCTGGGATTATGTAAAGGTGAGATTAATATGAGAATACCAGTGAAATGTGTGATTATTCTTATCAATTTTTCCTTTTTTATATAATTTTTTTTGTATTTTATTAAAAAATGTACTTTAAATTGTTTTTCATCAAATTCATCCAAATCAACGCTTAATTTCATCACTTTTAACTGAATCAATCGATTGAGCCAATTCTAGTGCTTGCAAGCATGTTTTACATATTTCCAAAATGAAGTCCTAGTAATTAACTCATTATATTTGCTTAGGAGGGGTTATGCGACCAAATAGGAAAGTTTATTTTAGATTCATTATTTTTGTGACGTTTTTCGTGAGGGTTTGATAAATAACACTTAGTACTCAATATTCACCCACAAATTTTGGTGATTTACCTTCTCGATTAGAAATTCTAATATTAACTCATTTTATAACTTATTTGGTAACTTTTCTTGCGGTTGAGTCAACATTTTCACCAAATGTTAAGCTTAGATTTGCACTAATTAGGATTTCATTTTATATTATTCAACACATATGCGTAACGCCTTATGCATACATACTTTCAGGTTACAAACTAAAACTCATGTTATTACCATTGATCTTTTTAGGGATCCCATATTTATTTTGTACTAATCTCCAAATTCGCTTTTATTTGACTTTTCTCTTATTAAATAATGCAGTAGTACAAAGCTATATGCATGATTAATCAAAACACGAGGGTAGTTGGTAACAAGCTTAAGCCAAAACCCATCTCAACCAAACATATCATAAGCTAACATGTAAAAAAGGGACTAATAGATCTGCAGATAGCTATACTACTAGACTGAAACATTGATCAACAAGGTGTTGAGTTCATTTCCAGTTGAATAAAAAGTTAAAAAAACATATTTACAACCACTAGCTATGGCATGTGCCCCTTTTCCTTGTAGAAAAGGAAGAAACTTTGATGCTACTAATGGACTTCTTATAAGCACACACCCTAAAAAGGCCTAGAATATATTTACAAAGAGGAGAGGGCTGTAACAGCCACTTCTTAAGAATATGATCTGACCAAACCGAAATTACAAAAGGATCTCGACTTGAAGAGGCCACCAAAGAGGAACCTGGTTGGGGATTCTGGGGGAGGATTAGCAGCTTCAGCGTTTCCGCCTTTCACACGAAGTATTGTCTGCCCAATGGTTTTCCTAATAGACTCCACGATCTTAGGATCAACGGAATACCCCGACGCGTCACGTACATAAAACGTGTTCAAAGCTTTCCCAGCTCTTGTTGTCACTTCTGCTCTGGTCACTGAGAGACTGTTCTCACGGAATATTCTAGTGACATCGGATAGCAGTCCACTTCGGTCGGTTGTGCATAGTTCTAGCTTTAAGCCCTGTTGACATTGAAGGATCATAATAGTCCTTTAGTCAAAAAGCAGCTAAAAAGACCATATAGGAAACACATTGATCAGAATAAAAAATCAAAGCAGCAAAATGATATTAGATCTGTTTACTCTTTCAAAGACATGTCATTTTAAAAAGTAATCATTTTAAAGCTAAATTTATAGAACAGCAAAGTCTTGGGATATGTTTAGATCCCGAAAAAGCATAGGGAAAGGGGAAAATGTTAAAGAAAATTGATTCCTTATGTTTGTCATGCCTAATAAAGTTCTGTAAAATGAATATTGCTTATTTTAAAATGGAGTATTTGTTTACAGATATTTAGATCTGTTAAGTGTTAATGAAATAGAAAAAAAGAAAAAAAAAGTGTTTAAACAAAAAAAAACTAATATAAATTTAGAGTGTGATCATAGCTTTTATTTTCTTCCCTTCACGTTTAATTTCCCAGTTTCAGTGTTTAAAACATGCCTTTGGATACGAATATATGATTGGATCACTGAATGATGGTAATTTTCTTATGTTTCGGTATTCCCTATAAAATTCAAGGAAAAACAAAAGTATGATTAATAAAAACAATATTTGCATATATCGATAGTTTGTAGTGTTTATATAATACATACAAATAAAAAAAAGCATCAACAAACTTCTCAAATATATATGTAATGAGTTCAGCTTATCTTTTCTTTTACCCATATTTCCTGTACTCCTATTTCCATGTATACTTGCTTTCCCTAATATTTTCTTGTTTCCAAACCCTCCCTTACTGTTCTTGAAACATATACCAAAAAATAAATAGGATATTGAAAGCACTAACCTCAGATACCCTTCTCAGTATGGCTGCCTCAAGACATTGAATTATTCTTTGTCTTTCTGCTTCAGATTTTACAGGAGATCCATCCACATGCCTGATGCAGTACTCCTTCACAAACAAAACACAATTGTTTTAGTCTCAACAGACCCTAAACTGGGGGTCTGGGGGGAAAGGAAAAAAAGAACAATACACAAGAAAGACACAACTTACATGATGAGCTTCTGCTCTACTAGTATCCACACTGCCATGAAAAACCACATATTGCATGTCAGTCAAAGTGCATATTATATCAAACAGAAGCTTTGGTCTATCCTTACAATGGACAGTCACAACTGAGTAGTCCTTATCGTGCCAATTGACCACACTCACATTAGGCCTTTCTTGATCAGTTACAAAACCGTCTTCCTCACTCAACCGTTCATAATCCCTATCAGCAAACATCAACTGATGAAGCCTTCTATCGGCATGAGTGACCCCATGAGTGACCTGTGTCTTTGCATCTCTACTCCGGTTGCTTCCCTTAAGCACATTGCACAATAGCTTCTTTATTAGTGACAACCTCTCGGGATCACTAATGGGCCCGCCCGTATCATCATCGGTCACTTGCATTATGGCTGCAGCTCGGGTGTTGTGTGTCCATACCTCGGCATTGACCACGTTGCATTTTAGATTGGTGAGAACTGCACTGACCTCGGAGAGTAAACCCGGCCTATCACTTCCTATTAACTCGATGGACGTGTGGTCCATTGCTGGTTTCACCCCAACCGATCTTCTCATCGAGGATGCAAAGCAAGAATCCGGCCCAAGAGACTATAATGATATAAATGAAAATAATATTAGACTATAAACAAAACATAAGTAAATAACATTAACCTCCAACGAGGTCTGTTCAAATTACAAAATGGTCCCTGAAGTTCACATAAATTACAATTTGATACTTTACAAGTAAAGTTTTTTGTGAATGTCCATTACTACTTAAAACATGATGAAATGTAATGATATTGGCAAGAACTAAGGGGGCTAGAAACTAAAGAACTATTCTTTTGGAGGAAAATTTTTGACAATGTAAAGAGTTATTTGGGACACTCAATTCCTCTAAGTATCATAATACTCCATCTCATCTTTCAGTGACATTTACGGAATATTTGACATGTTAAAGGGTGTGTTTCAATTTTTAGAAGACAACGAGGATCGTTTGGTAACATTATTAGCTAAACCTTAGAGGGAGTAGATATGATAAACCAAACAAAAATACAGACTGATAAAAGAAGAAGGTGGAGCAGCTAACCTTCATAATATAATCTAAGATTGCTTCATCTGTTATCTTTTTCCCATCTTGATTTGTGACATTGAAGACTGCCAAGAAATATAAATATTGAAAGAGAAGGAACTCAGAATGATAAACTGCCATTTCCACAATTATAGAAACATTTCTACAAGAAGGAAAATGAAATGCCATATATTACCATCCATGAACCATCCTCCATCAGAACATATGTATGCCTTTGTAATGCTAAGGTTAAGATCTGTGAGGATCTGTACCACTTCCAGAAGAATACCATGTTTGTTAGCACTATCCACCTACACAAGTACAATATTACAGTATCACAACACCGTTGGAATCAGAAATTATTGAGTGTAATGACATTTAAGGGGTGAAATTACTGTTTTTATCTTAGAATAGAGTTGTGAATCCCATAAAGTAAGCGAAAAAAATTCGCCCTTAAATTTTTTCCCCACTAAACCAGCAAAGAAGCAAAAGAAAAAAAAACAATGAAGCAAAACAAAGACTGACCTGTACCACAGTGGCATTTTTGCAGGTTTCATTATCAATTACCACTCTGACAAAAAAAAAAGACAAAACACGAGTTAGCAGGCACATGGTATAACATTAATTAACACTAGAGCTGGTTAAATCTGGACAAGTCGAGTAAAATGATGGAATGACTACTACCTTGGTGGATTCATTCTTCTAATGAGTTTTTCATATTCATCATCCATGTTCTGTGAGTAGCTTACTGTAGCTTCTGAAACAAAACAAAAAACAAAAATAAATATAGAATCATAAGCACCAATCACAGAAAAGACAGTGGAATCAAGAGTGTGCAAAAAGTAAATAAGAAGGAAAAAAATTAGAAATCACAAACTGACCAATCAAGAAAAATTTGATACATTAGCCATCAGCAGAACTACACATATTTCAATGAAGGTCAAACAAGAAACCTAAGACCCTCCCCCCAAGATAAAAAGGGGTGTGTTTGTATGGTGGGGCTCTCTGTCTCTGTCTGAAATCAATCCACATTGAAACACTCACCAAGAATAAAAGACTACATATTAAAACACAGAGATTTGAGTTTATCTCTGTTGTGGGTAAACAATCAAGATTTAATTCCCATCAATCCAATAATCATATGACAACCCACACAACCATCAAAATTAAATTAAAAAAGCACTTAATCCGTTTTAAGTTTTGATATGATCAATTATCAGAACCCTACTCCAATGAAACTAATCATGTTTACCCATCACTCCTGGGAGAAGTTGCTAACTTTGTAATCAAACGCAACCCCAATAATTCAATTATTCAAGAATCGGGAAATGAGAAAGAAAGAAGAGAAAATGGGACGTACCCATGGTAATTCTCGATGAATATTACAACGGGTAAGAAAGGCTTTCGAGATTCTCTCAGCCAACACGAAAAAAGGTGACAACTTTCGGTTTGCCAGAGCGTCTTCAGAACAACTATTGAGGAAGTCAGGAAGACAGCAATCCTGTCCAACCTTCTTCTCCCACACCCTCTATATATAATACTCCGAATAACACATATCAAGGGAGACTAGATCATTCTATTGCCTATTATGCCACAGGCAACAGATAAATCATACGTTCAAAACCTGCAACTTAATAAAGTACTACCATAAATATATAAATACGGAGTATATATATACACACACAAAGTCACGAACAGTGGACCTTTCTGTCTTTCTCTTTCCAAATACTGCGTAATCTGTATATCGGTGGGTGATGTGTTATTTATTTTCTTTAATTTAATAATTTAATATATGTGGATTGGCTTGGTAAAACTACTACGGAGTACTACCTCCGTTCTCTTTTAAATGCAACGTTGGATTTTTTGCACTATTCACATGTTCTACTTTGACTACGTTTTATTTATTAATGTAATAATATATATTTTTGAAAAAAATATTGTTAAATTTTTCTCATTATAAATTTTCAAAGTCTATTTTTTGAACTTTTTTACTAATCGGGAATTATAGATATTAATGGTCAAAGTTGTGCCTCGACAAATGTGAAATGTTGACTATTGCATTTATTTAAGAACGGAGGAAGTATTAATTACTGTAATTTTTAGTACTCTGTTATAGACGGGAATACTTTCTACGGTTTGGAGGAATGCGAAGCGTGGTTAGAAACGGCTGGGGTAGAGTTTATCGGCTTAGCCAGCCAAGTTTGGTGGGTTAGAGGTAAAACCGGTAAATTGAAACCCCATGTGCCACATTTTGTTTTTATTTTCCCATATGCCGCTCTTTTGCCCACAATTGTTTTATTGTCTACGTACCATAAGATTTGTTTCGGAAGGTTAGAACATTCATATCCGTCAATAAATCAAATTTCTCATTAATTTATCCGTATTCACTAAATAAATTTAGTTTTTACTGTAATGCAAAACTGCCAATATATTCATCCAACAAAAGTTCTTTTGATTAAATTCTTGTTTTTATTATTATACATCAGTTATTTGTAAAAACAAATATTGGAATAACAATGATTTTAAAAAATCAAACATTTCGGTATAAAAATAAATAAATTTGGAATTTAATTTTTTTGTTGCTATTTCATACCAATTTTTGCAAAAACTAAGTGAAAGATGTACTAAAATACTTTGATTATGAAATCTTAATTTTAGCACTCGAATCTATTTAAGGAACTTTTTGGGTCTAAAAATCTTCAACAGTTAAAGATTTATATATTTTTTAAATTTTTCATATGCGATATTGATGTCACATGAAAGATAATAAAAAACATGAATTTTGATATTTTTTATAAAAATAAAAATAAAATAGTTATAGCCATTTAAATAAAAATGAGATTTAACTTTTGCATGGGTCCCAGCACTTTTCTGCCACTTCACTGTTGCTAGCTTCCTCTTGCTTCGGTCAATAAGCCATCCTATTCCCACTCAGGAGTGCCCTCTACCCACTTTGGCACCCCAAAATACCTTGGTTTGGAGCTGGTTTTAGAATGGAAAATTCGAGTTTTTTTCCGTATTAATGCTAATTAATTAAGTATTTACGAAAATAGGGTCGGGTTAAAAGTATTTACGGATATACTGCTGGGCCTAACCCTGGTCGGGGAAAGTCGCCAAACCATTTGGCGACTTATAAGTCGCCCAACCAGATGGCGACTTATAAGTCGCCCAACGGTTTGGCGACTTACCCATAAATTAAAAAATCGGGTTAAACTAAAAAAAAAAAAAAAAAAAAAGAGGGGCAAAATTGTCTTTTGAAACCTGTTGAATTTTACGATTATCGTGTCCGCAGGTCGCCCGCGCAGGGGGGTGCGAATTTTCGATTATGAACTGAAAGCCGGAATTCTTGTGTGCGCGAGAGCTCCCCTATTCTCCTTCACCTTTTAATTCTAAGAGAGGAGTGGTTCATATTTATAGGCTTCAAACTTCTCAAGGAGTTTAGGTGTGGGAAAGTTAAAGAAGCTCACTTTCCACCTTTGCTTAAAAGTGTACACTTTTCCATCTTTCTCTTTCAAGAGCAAATTTGAGCCACTTCAAACTTCAAAATCCAAAACTCCAACACCAAAGGTTAACACTACAATCAAAGCTTCCAAGAGTCAACATTGAGATTTAAAAAAAAAAATCAATGTTAAGACTATTTTTCTCAACCTCCCAGCTACATTTCAAGGTCCAAGATAGTATTGTTTCCAAGATAGTATCTCCGCTCAATATATAAGTATACATACTTTTTCTTAACTTATACTACAAATATACTTCAACATACATATGTGTATACAATAAATCATAAATTCTTTGATCTTATAATATATGAATATACTTAGAATGAGATGCACGACGGATTATCAATGTCTTCTTTATATATAGAATTTTAATACATATATTCAATTATTAATATAACTAATTAGATTAACTATTCAAGTTTGGGTAATTTTTCCTTAATTTTTGAATTTTTTAGCGTATCATGAATTTGATTTAATATATTGATTTTTAATTATTATTTAGAGATAAACATTATGTAGATTCAATTGGTAACAACTTCCCACAAATAAAAATACAAACTAGCTAATTAGCTAGGTTGCGACGGGGCGGACCCGCCCCGCCCCGCATGGGGCGGGTCATGAGTCAACAAGTTTGGACCCGTGCAGGTCACGGGGCGGGGCGGACCCGCCCCGCCAAGTTACGGGGCGGGTCCGGGTCTTGCAATACCCGCCCCGCCCCGACCCATTGCCATGCCTATCTTGGACCTTGATAGGAAACAACCAAGCTACATTTCAAGGTCCAAAATCAAGGTACCATCTACCTTGATTTTTTTTTTAAATCTCAATGTTGACTCTTGGAAGCTTTGATTGTAGTGTTGACCTTTGGTGTTGGAGTTTTGGACTTTGAAGTTTGAAGTGGCTCAAATTTGCTCTTGAAAAAGAAAGATGGAAAAGTGTACACTTTTAAGCAAAGGTGGAAAGTGAGCTTCTTTAACTTTCCCACACATAAACTCCTTGAGAAGTTTGAAGCCTATAAATATGAACCACTCCTCTCTTAGAATTAAAAGGTGAAGGAGAATAGGGGAGCTCTCGCGCACACAAGAATTCCAGCTTTCAGTTCAGAATCGAAAATTCGCACCCCCCCCTGCGCGGGCGACCTGCGGACACGATAGTCGTAAAATTCAACAGGTTTCAAAAGACAATTTTGCCCCTCTTTTTTTTTTAGTTTAACCCGGTTTTTTAATTTATGGGTAAGTCGCCAAACCGTTGGGCGACTTATAAGTCGCCATCCGGTTGGGCGACTTATAAGTCGCCAAACGGTTTGGCGACTTTTCCCCGACCAGGGTTAAGCCCAGCAGTATATCCGTAAATACTTTTAACCCGACCCTATTTTCGCAAATACTTAATTAATTAGCATTAATACGGAAAAAAACTCGGAAAATTCATGCCTCATATAAATGTTCTCATTTAGCCTAAGAGTATCAAATTCAAAAACACCTTGGACGCATTCATTGCAATTAGCCTAAGAGTATCAAATTTGACAATATTGGAATATTGTATGCTTCCATGTTATTTTTGTTTTATTTTTAATTTATCCATTTAATATTAAGGTTCTCGTTTTTCTTTTTTCGATCTCTCCTATAAATGTTTTCATTTATATTTTCACTTTATTGTAAATTATCACGTCGCTACCTTTTTATAGAAATAATAACGTAAATATCACTAGTAAAAATATGATGGACAAAAGTGTGACCTCCCATTTGTAGTGACTATACTAATAACTTTTACTTATCATAATTACTAGTTATATTACGCGCGATGCGCAAGAGGGAAAATAAAGTAAGAGATTTTTAATAATAATAGTAATACTATCAATAATAATAATATTAAAAATAAAAATAATAAGAATAAGAGTAATAGTAAGAATAATAAGAATAATAATAATAACAATAATAACAATAACAACAACAACAAGTAGTAAATCATTATGAAATTTTCTAATTTTTATTGTATTTTCATAATCTGATATGATATGGATCTGTTAGATCTAATCCGATCTTAATAATCTGATAGGATATGAATCTTGTTGGGTATTGCTCATTTCATTATTTTACTCCGGGGGGGGGGGGGGGGGGGGGGGGGGGGGGGGGGGGGGTCTGGGGGGATGGGTGGAGCCTGGGGTAATCAGGGCTGAAACTCAGCCCATTGAGTTTCAAACCCTTGTGTGTGCCTAGCGGGATTCGAACTCGAGACCTCCCACTAGGCACAGTAACCTCGCAACCAGCTTGGCTGGAGTGCTTGGTTTGGATATTGCTCATTTCATTCATAATAACTTATGTTGTTTTCTGTTGGACTGTTTTCAGTCCCAGATCAGACCAGATCAGATCAAACCAAACCAGACCTGACCAGATCATACCAGACCAGACTTGACTTCTATAGTTATAAAATACATAGAGACCAGACGTTTACCAAACCAGTTCAGACCAGACCAGATCAGACCAGACCCTTAACCAGCAAATTTCAGTCCAAAAGAAAACATCCTTACATAAAATTGTAAGATTTTTAGAATTAATGCATAACGTAACATGTATAATAAAGAGTAAAAAATGAGTTATAACACAATGGAAATCCAATCAATCAATTGCATAGAATAATTAAAATGAGAAGAATAATGAAAACGAAAACTCAAAAGTTGGAGTTAACGGAGGTAGGGGGAATTTAGATTTAATGATGGAAGGGTACAATAACTAAAATAAATTGTACAAGTGCATAATGGTTTAATGTTACACCAACATTTTTATCATTCCTAAAATGCCCTTACCATCATTGGTGCTTATAAGTTTGTAGATAGATAGATAGGTATCCAATTTTACATTATAGTTACCATTATGTTACACTCATAATAACTTTAGTCATTTTTATGTCATTAAGTTCAATTTGAGTATAGGAAATTCTCTATATTATATTACTACTAACTTATAATGTCATTTTCATTTACTTCCCAGTAGTGTGGCAAGTGCCGCCGCTATCACACATGTCACTTTGATCATTCAAGAATAAATTCAGGTGGTTTTTAGCAAATTTTGTGCAAAAAAATTCCAAAAAATCAGATAAATATTTTTGAGATGACCCACGCAACAATTCCAAAGTATTTTTAAAGGCGTTCCTAGGGATTAAGTTGTTTGAAAGACTTCCTATGTTCTAATGAAGAGGTTACTACATGGAGGCAAGTCCTACATAATAA